ATTAATGATTGTGATACCACTCCAGAACCTAAACGTACTTGGGAGTGAGGCTCTCCCTCGCCTGGCGCGCCTGACTGTCCCAAGCCTTGTTCATCAACTGCAAGAACATATCGCCGATCGGCATGGCCTTGTCAAATGGTTTGTTGAATTCCCCGCTCACGGGTCGTGCGTTGGTGAGGAGCGGTGATCTGCGTGACGCGGGTGCGGGGCTTAGGTACCCGTGTGGGATGGGCTTGAATTGGGCGAGATCAGATAGTAGATGGGTTGCAATGAGCTACTTGGATAGATCTTGAGTAAATTAAATGAATTGATTGGCAGGCGTTATAGACGACCCACCCCTTGCAGCACAGAGTTCATGAAACAGGTGTTGCCATGATTTATGAGGCCCGGCGGGAGAAACGCAACACGCTCCTGCTCCTCTCGTTGCTTGCGGACCCGGTAGAGTTCTTGCGGCGTCGGATTCTTTGGTTTCGCCATTCAAATCGTACGATGTCTCGTTACAATGGTGAATGTCTAGCGTCGCTAGGCTTGTACACGGGCTCTCAGCGGTACAGTAACTGCGTGTTAGGGGGAAGAGACCAAAGCTCTTAAGTTCATGAGGTTGACGGTTAGATCAAGCTGCGTACGCGGTGGCACCGTCGGTGTCCGAATTTGTTTTCAAGCTAACACCGACATACATGGCCGTTTGCCCTACATTACCGCCTCAAATACAGTGTACTGTCCAGTCTGAGTCTAGTATACTGTGAAATTTGCGTACGCAGCCTTCTTTCACGCAGGTCTACCGATATGCTGCGCCGCTGCACCGGTCAAATCCAAACGGCCTTGAGGCCACAACATGACAGTCCGACAGATATCTATCCTCACTTCGGCCACTGCGGCGGGTAATTGAATCGGACCTGATCTGCCTCCACAAGCCCGTGACCCCGTCCTTTCTATCCCCACATTCGCATCGTCCGATCTTAAATTTTGGTGTACAAGTCCACCGGCCGCCGGAACCCTAGACGTTTATAGTCAGCAGCGAGACAAACTTCGAATGTTACGATTCATTCACCTCCATCTCCAGTGGTGCCAAAATGCTGCGCTGGCCCGAACCCGACCTCACTGAGGATACGCTCAAAGTCGTCTGGTCGTATTTGCAGCTTCTTCGCGTTTTCTTTCAATCTCTACGAGCATGTTTAAGCACGGCTATATCAGAGAAGGATGGAATAGAAATTGGGCAGTTCATAGGAGCCAATGTACACCCCAATACTGTGCTGTGAACCACCCTAATCAGGTAGACCTTCGGGCGCAAGGGTGAGGCACTGAATTGGGCTGAATGTGAAACGTGCGTTAGAGCACCACTTGCGCCCAAAGCTCACAAATGCCCCAGGCTGGGTTCAAAGCAGGCGACTATGAGACACCCCAATGTAAAGACTGACCTCATCCATCCGCTTGGCTTTTGCATACGTGTCCCAAGCCTGCGGCTCAAGCACAAAATTTCCACCAGGTTCGAGGACGTCGTGTACGCGCCTGAAGAACGCCCGTAGCGCGTCATCCCCACCGTTCAAATGGATCCATTTCGAGATAGAGAATCTGCACATATAAATTAATGTAAATTGGTATTGGGCATAAACTAGAAGTCCTTACCCAATAACAACGGTATAACCTTCTGCATCTTCCGGTATACGGTTAGCGACCCAGTCCGCGCTGCGGAAGACCACATTGTGTGGGAATGCAGTACGCCCCCTGATTTCGGAGGGAGGGATAGGCAGAGACCCGAACTCGTGCTCACATGAGGCGGGGAAGTAGTCGGGTTCCAGCCGAGGCGGTGTGGGGGGAATGCTGCTTGCAGAAGGATCTTGTGTACGTTTGCGTTTGCGGGATTTGGACTCCTCTGGGGAAGGGACAGTATTTTGCGGCGGTGCAGGATGATCCTCCCTTGGCTGCTGCAGCGACCAGACGGCGCGTCTCCGCCTCCACGCTGCACGTATAAGGGATTCATCGATGTCCACGCCCACCACTTTGTGCGCACCGGACTGGGCTGGATGAGTCGGTGTCCTCGTCAGCATTTTCCCATAACCCATAATCAAAGGACGCAGTAGACGCACCTATCTCACAGGTTACCCAGCCCTCGTTGCAGCCGACATCGAGGACGCGTGCACCGGTGAACAGTGTTGGTGGGAGCAGAGCCAGGCGTGGGTCGCGCACAGAAGGGCGTTTCAAGTAGTACCTTTGGCAAGCCCTTTAATTTAGGCGTAATAGAGATCCATGAGGGTGTCTAACCCATGATAGTTGCCGTGGATGGGCGCGTTCGAAGTCAAGGCCATTGTTGTGGTCGTGGTAGATGAGCGAGATGCAGTGTTTCCCACCATCATGATAACTCAAACTAATACTATGACCATTGAATTACACCCAGCCAACGTCCCCCAAACATATCGTTCTGGACGATGGCAAGCAACGCCCTCAGGCTCTCTTGTTGCATATTGGTGTGGCGCATCCCTGAAATTTCGCTACACCGGAAGGGAGTTGACCATCCGTACTGGGGTGTTGACAGAACGCAAGGATCGGCTCAATGGCGGCACGCCCATGTTCTCTGTCTGTATTTCTGGGGCCTGCACCGATTCCGATGAGCCTATTGTACGCATGCACGATGCAGGGCCAAGCGAGATGATACAGGTATACTGCGCGGCCGAGACCGACGAAATCGCAGCACACGAAGTGACCATCGAAATCACCCTAATAGACTGGGCTTCTGTGTTCGAGCTGGATGCTATCCTCACCACCTCTGTATCCTAATCCACATATACTGTCCAAGAACCTGTTTGACCATCTATCTCGACAGGAGAACGATATCCGCGCTTTCGAACCCCCACCTACTGGCACTAGCGCTCTACAGGTTTTGTGGATCGGGGACTCCATATCATGCGGGTACAGCGATGGCTCGCAACGGATTCCTCAAGGCTGCCTCGACGCGTTCCCGTTTCGCGCCCGGGAGCTTATGCGGAGGCAAGCTAGTCGAGTCGAGCTCGATCTGACCTTGGTCGCATTCCCAGGGATCACACTCACGGACGGGGACGAGCTTGGGATGGTATCGAAGTTATTTAAGGTTTGTTTCTCAAACGATGGGTTACTGTCCATTGGAATGGCTGAGACGTTACATATACACAGGAGTCCCCTTGGTACGGGTGCGAAACAGCATACGAGGGCGAAGAACGACATCCGGAGCTGGTGGTCATCGCCCTCGGTCGGTCTTCCATATTATAGGTTCTTTCCTCTATCGGTTGACTGGATTCGGATACTGTAGGAACCAATGACGACTTACAAGGCGTTCCTGCAGAGAGCTTCCAGGTAGCTCTCACCGGCCTCGCCTCATTACTCTCATCTCGCTATGCAACGTCCCTAAAATATATCATGCTCATCGTACGTAGCTCGACCTTCGGCAAATCCCCATACTCACGTCGCTCTTTGAATCAGCACCCCTTCCCCAACTTCGACCAAGAAGAAACTAAACCCGATCTGCCGCAAACGGGACTCGGAGCACACTTCCCCTCGTTCCTCGAGGCACTGTGGTCCTGTGTGTCCCAGGAAATCAAGATTTTCGCCTGCAATATCGCAGGGAGGCTTAGGGCAGGGCACACAATGGACGGGTTGCACCCTACGGTGGAGGGAAACGCGATACTTGCGGATGGCTGGATAGAAGGAGCGCGGACTTTTGTGGGGAAGGTTAGATGACTACACCCAAGGAGAGCTCAGGACACCCATCAAATCTACTGGAACTTACCTTGCAAGGAAGAATGATCTTGGGGATCTCAACTTTTTCTTTGCCCATGAACTCATTTCCCGAGCGATTTTTTCCTCATGGTACCAGGAATCATTGTTAGTGCCCATGAGAGAACCACTTACTTCAGATCTATACACATAATCCTGTACACCCAGCTGTTCCGGGTGGGGATCTCGCCAGTATTAGCGTACGGATAGGTGGCGTAGGTGTTTATCGCATCTCCTTAACATTCAATACTTACAGAGGTCCTCAGTTCGAATCTGGGTTCAACCGTTTGTCATTCAATATGTGCCCGTCAAAGTTTTGTAAGAAATGATATGAACTTTTTTAATTGATTAAGAATGTCAATGAGACTCAGACTCAGACTCAGACTCATGATCAGAGGGTACATAGTAATCATGCTCATGCTCAGCTGATATTTTTTGTATCAACATGAAATGCGAAAATCTTACTCAAGTACTTATATAATATTAATAACCTTGGAGCTCCTTGGCTCAATACTCCTAGCCCAGGGCCAATCATAGAAATTATGCGCCTTACGCCACGCCATTGTCTAGGCCGGTATTAAGGGTTGATGGCGTAGTTGGCTATCGCATAGTTTAGTCACCGAGACTCTAGGTCCCCAGTTCCAACCTGGGTCGACTCATCTCTTGTGAAACATTAACGCAACAATTTTATATCACATCTCTTATATCACCTTTTTCAGATTATAGCCGATTCCAAACCTCTATTCACCCCTACGAAAAATTTGCATTGATAGGAAAACGGCATGTATTGCCAAAAGCAAAGGCAGCAGGGGCCATGGGGTATGTCCCTTCACCGAGTCGCGACCACTTGAAGGACCACTTTGTATTCCTTGACTAAATTTGGTTTGTGGCGCGTCAGATGACTTGACGGTAACCTTATCTCTTTTTTCGTAGTGGCGAATACAGTTTTGGAATCAGCTGTCATCTTGTTCAAATTGAGCAAGATCCTACAGCTTTCGCATGAAATCGTCCCCAGCCCCTCTTATCAAACATCCGGAGCTGGGGCGATGATATGTGTTGGTCAGCTTAGGAATCATCGGACATATCGGCCTGGTGGTCTAGTAGTATGATTCCTTGTTAGGGTTTGATACCATTTCGAGGAGGTCCTGGGTTCAATTCCCAGCCAGGCCCAATAATAAGTGTGGGGGAAAATTTTTACTACCTTTACGCCACGCAACACCTGACGACTAATCTACCGCTCTTGTGACTCTCACGGGTCGATGGCGTAGTTGGTTATCGCATCTGTCTAACATATTCCAATGTGCACAGAAGGTCCTCAGTTCGAACCTGGGTCGACTCATATTTTATGAAAAATTGGTGAAACAATTTTAGACCAATCATCTTGTTCAAAAGATTCCGTATGTGCATCAGCTCGTAAATCTTCCGGCTTTCGTGTGAAAATATTTTCCCTCTATCTCTAAACCAAGGTGCCATATATCCTCTCTTTCAACGTGGCACTCAGAGCCATCCAAGTCTCACAGGCCTGGTGGTCTAGTAGTATGATTCCTTGTTAGGGCCGAGTACCGTTTCGAGGAGGTCCTGGGTTCAATTCCCAGCCAGGCCCATCGCAGTGCAATAAATTTTTTATCCCTCACAAATAAGATGCGCCACAATACAAATTTGAACTGCGCCACGATCAGGAACTGGTCGATGGCGTAGTTGGTTATCGTTTCTGTCTGACATTGCATTGGATTCTATGATATAAACAGAAGGTCCTCAGTTCAAATCTGGGTTGACTCATTATTCCTGTTTGCATAGTGAGATCTAGGGCATACCCGTTTCATACGTGCAGAGCGGCAAGGAGATTGAATTCTTCATATACATACCCATGTTCCACGGGGGTGCAACTCGAGCGGAAAGGTGTTACAGTGGTTCCGACAATTAAGATATTATATTAAATCGGCAGGAAAATGCAGCTATTGTGGCCAGAGTTCCGAAATACAGCATACTACGGCTCCGACGTCACTGACGCCTCCTTCCCTGCTTTACGGGCAGCCTGTTCAGCCTGTTGTGCCCTCAACGCGGCCCCCGCGAGCGACCTGGCCCGCTGCTTCGCAATCCCTTCCGCAACCTTCATTGCATGGACGTCCGCGCGAATCTTCCTGCGGCGATTCCTCTCACGCCGCTTGCTGAGATGGGACAAGTCCTCACCCACACCAACATCGGCACCATATACTGGCTTCGGGGGTTCAGGCACCGTCGGGCGCGGGCGCATGCTTGGGGGAATGTGTTTCCAGACCCAGACGGTTTGTGTAGCGAGCGGAGTATCGGTCTGTGCTTGTTTGCCCTTCTTGGGGGCTATAGGTGCGGCTGTGCGCTCAGTGCGGACTTTCTGGATTTCCTGGCTGCACTCGAGGAAGGGAAGGATGTGCCTTTTCATGAAACTGAGCGTTGTTGTGTTAGGATAAGAACGGAGCAGTAGGGGAGATGACGCACGCCATAGACCGGACGGGGTGTTCAGGGTGTGGTGGTGCGGGAACTTCAGTTTTTTGTTTCGTGCCCTTTGGTACCGGTAATTTAGGTTCTGGAGTTGGAGGCGCAAAGTCTGGCGAGGGCCGCTGTTTTAGGGCCAAGTTGTAGAGTTCATGGATTGTGAAACCAGCGGGGGCATTTGTCTTCTCGATTACTTTTCGGACGAGAGACGCGCCCTCCCTGATAGCGAGTTGGTTGTGTTCGGCAGCGCGCAGGACGCGAGCAAAGGGCGTATTCATCGCGTCTGACGAGGTCAAGGCCAACAATGAAATTTCGGAAGAGGCTGCTTGGCTAGACCGCGACGAGCAAACAGCGCCAACCAAAGCCTGACGTCCTGTTCTTCCTGAGCCACCGCCTTGTACCACCTCCGCCACTGCCGCCATGGGTCCTCCCCGCCGTAATCCATCCCATTCATCTACACCCCAGCATTCCCTCAATATGGCTTCAGAACCACCACTCTCTCCAGTCTCTCACCAGCCACCAGCACCGGCAAAACAGCCAAACATGGGCATGAGTCCCGCATCTCGATATCAACATAATCTCAAGGTCCTGCGCAGGCGGGACCCCTCTATAGTCTCCATATTTGATCAGTTCAGCCATGTATGTCTCTACCACCACAATGGAACAAAGTGGGAGAAGCAAGGCTACGAAGGAAGCATGTTTTTGTACGAGCGGTGTGTACTGCTTCTTTAACAAGCTTTACCATCCATCCATGTTTTTTGTTACTCATTTATTTGCGCAGGGAAGAGTACCCGCCTTATGGCTTCTATATCCTTAATCGCATGGGCATGGACGACCACATCCAACGGTTATATCCTGAAGACAATATCGGCGCCCACGGCAGCTATCTAATCATTCGCTCTTACCCCGAATTCACCGAACGCAGGCTCTCTATTGCTCGCACAGCAGCGTCACATATGAGCCCTAAACCACATAAATACTCCGATATTTATTCTATTCCTCACGTCGACCAACTTACGGCCGCAGACAAGGGCGAATCTGCCACTATTGGCCTCTGGATGTTCGCCACAGACTCCAGGGAGCCTCTAATTGACATCTTTACCCGGTGAGTGCTAGAGTGGCGGCCTATGTTATTTTACTGACTGGGACAACACAGGCTCCATTCCTACATCAAGAAAAATGAACCTTATCCTCAAGAATTCCGCTACGGCCCGGACAGACCACCACCCTCCATCCCTGTTACAACTGCCGCCATCGCCGGCACTCCCTCTCACAGTGGGTTTTTTCAACCTTCTTATCTCCGAAACTCTTTTAACCAGACGTCCCTTTAGCTCATGCCCAACCAAATAAACTCGCGAACGGCTCTTCGCACCAAGGTCATTTCAAAGCAAGCCATCCTGGCCAGGCGTACGCAAACGGAAACGGGGGCGGCTCTGAAATCGACAAGTTGTTTGCAAATGCGAAAGTCGAGCCCACACCTGCCTCCCCTACCGCATCCACGTCCCAGTCACCGAACTCTACTTCCAAGATCACTGTTCAATCACTATTTGCAGCTCTGGGTGGTGGAGTCTCAAAGCAAAATGCCGATCACCGTACACCTTCCGTCACGGGCTACCGTGCTTCCTCCACCACATCACTCCCTTCCCCTTCCGCGTCTTCCAGCACCAGCAGTGGCCTTAGCCTCCTCGACTCCATCTTTGCCTCAGCATCAGCCTCTGCTTCCCGGCCTGCTACCACCCAAGTCAACATCCAAGCTGCCCCACCACCACTCGCATCTGCACCCACCTCTAGTGCCGCATCAGTCACCATTTTCTCACCGGCACCCACCACCACATCAGTCCCACAGATCCTCAATCAGGACGTCATCGCGACCCTCCTTGGCCTCCCACCCTCCCGTAGCGCCTCTGCGGCATCTACCGCCTACAGCACCGGCGCCCAATCACACCCGAGCTCGCGTGGCGGTGACGACGAGGGCTCTCGTGCCGCCTCCTCGCGCTCTAACTCTGGCTCGGACGAAGATGGCTACTCCGAGTCGAGCACAGTGCTAGACCCCGAGGCCGAGTACGATGAGGAGCTGCAGGCAGCTGGAGCGAGTGCCGGGAGGCCGCTGTTGGCGGAATATAATTTCCTCGGAACAAATGGACACACCAACGGTCATGCGCATGGCCAGAACGGGCGCGTGCTGGGCGATGTGACGCCCCGCCCACCCACGGGTGGGTTCGTAACGCCGCCGTTCTCGCGCCACTCGACATACCCGCAACCCAACGGCCATAATAACCACTCAGGGCGCCTATCTGCGCCGATGCTTGAGCACTCCTTGTCGACAGCCACTGTCACCGGGAATCGCTCACAGTCACAACCCCTTATGCGTGCCACGGCACCATATCAATCATCTACCCCGCCACCTGTAGCAGCAGCACCGGCACCGGCTGCCGCACCCCCACCAAGCGGGGTCCCCCTGGGCTCCGAACGCGCATTGGTGCCATTCGAGCCGGACTCGGAGCTCTGGCCATACCCACGCACCCAATCTGGTCTGCCAGAAGACGGGGACGACATTATCGAGCTCGACTTTGCGGACACCAGCGCGCTGAGCGACCCCGAGGCGTTTGCAGCCCGGCGCGCGCACCGACGGGGGCCTAGTGCGAGCTCAAACCCAAATACAAATACTATCGAAGGTGGCATCGGGGCCCTGTTGTCGGCGGGCACGGAGCGCCGCAAGACCCGGAGGAAGGGGAGAAAGGAGAAAGAGCAGGCGAGGTTGAGGGAGAGAGAGGAGATTGAGAATAGCTGGGATGTTCCGGGTGGTGGTGCTGCTGCTGCTCCTATTGCTTCTGCTTCGGGGCAGAATGGGAATGGGCATAACCATAACGGACATGGGAATGGGAATGGGCACGGATTGGGATATGCTGCGGTGAATGGGAACGGGAATGGGCACGCGTACGAGTACGAGCACAGGTACGGGACGTACACGCAGGGCGAGCGGAGGCTTCCTTCGACGGCGTCGCCCTCGCCGTGTCCGTCGCCTGAGCTGCAGCCCGCTGACTCTGCAAGTGCGGCTCGGGAGGCACAAGCACCGGCGCCCAAACAGATACTGAAGAAGGCGGTGAACGGGACTTCTGCACCCAAGGTACAGGTGCCTGCTGCACCCGTCGATCCAGTGAGAGACAGTGTGTTGGCTGCTGTGGCGGACAAAGGGCCAAGTGCACCGGCGCTAGCAAGGAACGATTTCGTCAGGGAGGTGCTTATGCTCATTCATGTGCGTATTTTTTTGCATTTGGGGTTTCATATACTGAATAGCGGAATCTTTCAGACTGACAAGGCCTTTGTGGACTCGATGTACCAAGAGTACACTAGCAGGATCAGATAGGGCACCAGCACCCCGCTCGTTCGTTCCAATGTACACCTCGATCTCTGTTTATCATTCCTTCAATTCCGCCCCGTGTGTTGTTGTATTTGAGCATGTCGACGTCCCACCGCTGCTACTCGTACGTATACTGCTCCTAGCTGTGTCTTTGTCATGTACCACATTCCTTATCTCCATTCCCCGCTGCCACTACTTCCCGTACCCACTCCCAACTTCTATATCCCCGTTTCCACTTCTCTGCTACACCATAACACCACGACTTTTCGCCGTATATCTCTCCCACCTTCCCTGTCCCTGCCACATGTGTCGCTCATTGCAATCACCACATTCTGTCGCTATCAATATCTAGTACTACGCTTATCTACATCGTTGTATCGTTAAACCTATACTACTAGTGTATGTAGTGCTACTACGCCCTCAGGCTGCATCCCCACCTAGGAACCAATGACAGCCCTCCACTCCTTCCCCCCCGTCAATCACGAATCAATATTCAGTGAACTCAAGACACTAGTAAGTCGGTCTTTGCGCAAAGGTATCCACAGGACCTCGCCCGAGCCCGTCGTGCCCTGGGCAGCCTGCACGAGCCCATGATCGCGAAACTCGCCCAACAACGAGCGCAGCGCCGTATCGTTCGTCGCAATAAAATTATCCCGCGCGCTCGCGAACACCATATCATACCCCATCCCGAACTGCGCCATCTCGCGCTCGGTCGGCGCCGTGCCGTCCGCGTGCGCATCCTCGATGCCCGCGAGCTGCGCGCGCCCGATGAGCGCGAACAGCTTCTGCGCCTTCTGCGTGACCGAGGCGAGGATGTGCAGCGCGGCGGTCTCGGACATGGTGCTCGCGCCGGCGTGGGCGGTGGCGTCGGCCTTTTTGCGCGGCCCGCCGCCGTGTGCACCGGAGAGGGAGGTGCGGTCGGCGTATGCGAGCTCGAAGTCGTATG